TATATATATATATATATATATATATATATATATATATATATATATATATATATATATATATATATATATATATATATATATATATATATATATATATATATATATATATATATATATATATATATATATATATATATATATATATATATATATATATATATATATATATATATATATATATATATATATATATATATATGACAACACAATATTTTTTATTTATTTTATTTACATTTTTCTAATTATATTATTTTATTATTTTTGTATTTAATGTTTTTTATTTAAATTTTTGTGTATTTTATTTTATTATTGTATTAATTTTTTCATTTTATTAATTTTATTTATTACTTTTTGTATATTCTTTTCTTTTCTTTTTTCTTTTTCTTTTCTTTTTGTTCTTTTCTTTTCTTTTCTTTTCATTTCTTTCTATAGCCTCATTAAAATAAAGTCACACCATAATTTCTGCTGTTATTTTCTATTATCCAAAAGATCACAGAACAACCAATTACCAGTCAAAATGTCACCAAACCTAATACAGCACATCCAGATGGAAACAAAGCCAATCACACTTAAAAGACGGCGGTGTGAAAAACACATGAGATGATCTGCTGTACAGTGTGATTGGAGTGTGCTGTGTGTTAAAGTGAGAGATGCGTGCGCTGTCAGAGCCCGTATCGTTCACGCTCAATCAGCCGTGTTGACGGTGTGAGGAGGGTCGTCTCTGGGAGCCCTCATGTCTGCGTTAGCCGTCAGACTCGCTCTGATTTTAGCTTGACTGCCAAATTGAGATCAACCTGAGCTCCCCTGCTGGAGCCCATCCTGTCTACACCGATGCTCAAAACAAATGCAATATTGCCTGCAAAGAAATACTTCACTTTGAGCTTATGAGATTTCACAATAGAAGATCCTGTATTTGAGCCTTAACTCCATAGCATTGAGTTTCTTTTTCAATTTTAACTTGTTTTTTTGTTTCTAACGTCAAAAACAATTACAGATACAGTTGAAGTCAAAATATTTAGCCCTCCTTTTCTGTTATTAATAATTCCTTACATTTCTATAGTGCTTTTATAGACATGCAAGAGCTTTACACATTTTTCGGGGAATCTCCTTATCCACTATTATTATTATTATTATTATTATTATTATTATTATTATTATTATTATTACTATTATTATTATTATTATTATTATTATTATTATTATTGTAATTATTATAATTATTATTTTTATTANTAGTAGTATTGTTGTTGTTGTTATTATTATTAATTATTATTATTAATATTATTAATAATAAT